CCCCGCCCCGCTCCCCACCCCCGCATTAGGCCATGAGCTCCCAAGGTCTCTGATTACCCAATGATTAGCACAGAGTTTGGCTCAGAGTAAATATTTACCCAATGTTTGTAGAAATGATTAATTTCAGGTGGAGAAACGATGTCCATAGAATTCTGAAACTCAACTAAGGGTCAGAACCAGGACTAAACTCCAGGTCTCAATTGCAAAGTCCATTTACAACAGTTTTTCTTTTAAAAGACTAAGTGCTAGGAGCTAGAGGCAAATAAGGAAGTGGAGTGCTGATCTTGAGCCTAAGAATTTCCCCATGCTGAGAACAAGTTCACAACAGAAGAGCAGAGAAGAGAGACCTATCTCAGGTACAGGTAAGTCTTTCAGGCAGTCTGAGGCAGTGCCACCCCTATATTATAAAATTCCTGTTTTGTTGGTTTCCATCACATTTATGACCTTTCCAAAGGTGGTTAAGACCGGCACATAAAAGCCTTAAAGGTCTGCTGGAAGGGAAAATTAAAATTGGTATCTCCAACTATCAATTACAGTGGCTACTACTAAAGTAGATCACTCTCTTTAAAAGCATTTATTTTTGCTCTTATTTAATCAATTCTTTTGCACATTCACAGTTAGTGGGATGGAAAGGCAGCACTCAACACGAGCTTGGGATCTGGCAGAGGGAGGCAGCAGTGAGGTATATATAGTAAAACACACAGACTTTGTAGGCTGCCAGACCAGGTCCTAAATCCTGTCTGTGTAACCTTAACACATTGTATGCGGGAAACGTATTTATACGCTTTACGTTGACTGGTAGTAGAGCGCGGAACACGTATTAATACGTTTTTTATAGACTAGCGGTAGAATGCGGGTAATGTATAAATACGTAAACTAAAGTTATCGTAATTTTACTGAACGTTGCCATTTGCGCAAAAAATTAGCAAAAATGGCCGGCGCCACCTGTTAGCGCGCGATAAAAACTACCCGCAAACAATGTTTAAACAAATCATTTTATCTCTTTGGGCTTCAGTTTTCTTACCTCCAAAATGAGAATAACATATATGTTGTGGGGGTGGTTGTGAGAATTAGTGATAACTCTCTACACAAAGTAGACTATTTAGATCTTTACACAACAGCTACATTCTAAAGGAATGGGCAAACAGGTAGGAAAATAGCATGCCTCCAATGGGAGGGTAGGAATGCCCCCACCTTCCCCAATTTCCATTAGAACCTCCAAAGAAACAGCCCAGAGAAGCCCTCGATGGGGACAGATTGTTGACTTCTCAACACAGGTAAATGGTGGATAACTCACACAAGTACACTTAATTGCTTACGACAGGCTTTCTTTCTTTTTTTTAAATTACATTTATTGACAGGCTTTCAAACATTTCGTTATTTCAGTAATGCAAATGACTTATCTAAGGTCACAAAGTCAGTGAGTTGGAATTCACAGCTATATCTTCTCTCTCAACATCTCCTACATTTTCCATTGCACTGGGTACAAATCAATTCCTTAAGCTGAGTTCACCTTCCTGCCTCTAGAGAAGACAGCAGGGGGACGGGCAAGGGTGAGAGAGGATTCAGTAATGTGATCTGCAGAGATCTGGCTAAGGAAGCCCTGTGTAAAAGGAGACCTCCTACCTGTCATTTCGGCTGATGGCTGCCACCATAAGTGCTGTCCAGCCAAGTTTGTGCCTTGCGTTGACATCTGCACCTTCCGACAACAGCCTAGAAATAGAGAAATATTTTCAGTGTACGGCTTCCCATGGACCTAAGAGTGAAGAAATGAGATAGCCAACAAACAGGGATACAGGCTTTTGAGAATTCAATATCCATCCCAGCACCTCTAGCCAGTCTCCTCTCTCTCTCTCCTCTCTCTCTGTCTCTCTCTCTCTTCCTTTATATGAGTCTGCCCCTTGCTGTTATCCTCCCAGCCTTCTGAAAAAAAATCTGCCTTCCCTACCTTCGTCCCCTGACACTCCTCCCTCGGTCCAGAATGCTCTCCCCCTGCCTCTATGCCTGTTCTAACCCCACTTTCATGCCATGGGATACAATCCTGACTGAGGACTCTCCCTGAGAAGGCTTCCTTGACTCATTCATTCCACAGATCTCTCTTCCTTCCTTAGAATTTCCCCGTGCTTAGCACCAAATGCCCAGGGACACTTCTTATCTAAGTAGTTCCTAGGTTTAAAAAGGATCACTCTCTTCGTTTCTCTGTATGGTGGTTGTTTGAAACTTGGAAATTTTTTAACCCAAGGAAAGATGGAAACAATGACAGAAATGCTAAATTAGGTTTCTAGGAGGTCCACAAGAACCTATTTGACTCTATATGCCAGTGCCTAACATGTAGTAAGGGCTTAATAGTTGTTGGATAAATTAACTAACACAGGGCTATAAATATACTACTAAAAGCCTGAATCCTGGGTCCTGGGAACAGAAGGGCCCTACAATGTGGAAGTGGATAGAGAGAAGGGAAATAAATAGACTCAATCCTGAGCACATACAAGTAGGAACTGCCTTCAGAACTTTACATACATGCTCTCATTTACTCTTTGCACAAGCTTAAGGAGATGATACTAAGCTCTTTTCATGGATGGCGTAATAGTGAGGCGAAATGACTCACTGAAGGTCACAAAGCAAGTAAAAGGGCAGTACAATGACTGAAATCCAGGTCAACAACGGCTCTACAGCCTGAATCTTTCTCACCTGTCCACCCTTCCTCTATTCTAAACCTGATTCCATGCACATGTTAGACAAAAAACTAAATTGACTCCAGCAAATCCACAATATGTGCTGGATTCAATGCTAGATTCTGGGATGAGGAAGAGGCAGAGGGTCTACCCTAGGGAACTATACAATTTGGTTGTGGGGAAGGACTCAAGACAGTAGGAAACCAAAGCCTGTAGTGTGTGGAACCCACCAGGAATGCTAGAGGAGGCCAGGAAGGAGGGGACCAAAAGTCAAGAGTGATTCACCAACAAGGCAGGGACTGCTTAGGAGGAAGGGGGTAGGGTATTTGGGGGAACTGGAGGCTGACTCCTCTTCAGTGGGTTCTAGATGAAAGGGCACTGACAGAATCCAGAAGCTTAGAGTTGAGTCCTGGTACCATTCTTGTGTAGTAAATGATCCTCTGGATCAAGCCAAATAAAAACTCGGTGCGGTTTAGTAAGCAGGTGACTAAGGCTTGGGAGGATAAAATGACACAAAGCCTGAGTAGGGAAGACAGACCAACAAGCACATACGTATACATCAGATGAGTGCTATGAATGGGGACTACAGGTTGCAGGTGCACAACCAGGGAACCTAACCCAGTCTAGTGACCCAGAGGTCTCTCTTTGGAGGTGATAATAGAGCACTAGCCAGACAAAAGGAGACGAGGGAGGGGAGGGAGTGCTCCAGGCAGAGGTAAAGCCTCTAACTCAGAGAAGACAGCATGGGGTATATGAGGATCTGAAAGAGGTTTGGCATTATTGGGGCACGCAATGTAAGGAGGGAGTGTCAGGAGAGGAGGCTGGGAAACCCTCATCTCTCATGACTAGTTTGGAGGATTTCTTCTGGGCCTCTTACCATATATACTGTTAAACCAACTCTTGTACAAAGCTTCCTTTCTAACTTACACACCTTCCCTAGTGTGCAGGCTACGAGGTGCTATGGAGAGCCCAGGGTTCTGAGAAGTAAAAGACTGGAGTCCTGGATCCTAACTGTGATTTTGATCAGATGGCCTCACTTCTCTGCTCCTCAGTCCAGAAGACTAGAATATTAGGACCAAATCAGAGATCTGTGAAGGGAAAGACTTGAACTGTGCCTTGAAGAACGGAACAGTTTAGAGACAAGGGATGAAGTGCAAGGCAGTCAAGACACAAGGAATGGGATACTATTCAGAAGCAGGGAAGCAATGTGAAGGTATGTTCAGAGACAATCAGACCCACCTGGGTGACAGTTCACAGTAGAGAAACAGCTGCTGAGGTATTCAGGGCCAACAACAGGGCCTCAAACCCAAGCTAGGAGGCAAGGCAGTGGGCATAAACCTTTTTTGAGCTATGCACTTCTTTTAGAATATGATCAAAGCTGATGGCTCCAGAAAAGTGTACAGGAGCATATAACCCCTCCCC